AGTAGCTATGTTGGTACAGCGGACCTAGGAATGAAATAGATGGGAAGTCTACTAAATATTACTCGATCTACACATTAGGAAAAACTCTAGGTCTGGTACTCCGAAGTCTGACTAAAGTCACTACAGAGCGAATCATAGCCTCTCCTCCAGTTTCCAGACCTAAGCCAGCTATCATACCCAGAGTCCCTTGACTGAAGGATATGCTATTTTCTTTTTTTTTTTTTTTAAGATTTTTATTTATTTGACAGAGAGAGACAGCAAGAGAGGGAACACAAGCAGGGGGAGTGGGAGAGGGAGAAGCAGGCTTCCCGCGGAACAGGGAGCCCAATGTGGGGCTCGATCCCAGGACCCCAGAATCATGACCTCAGCCGAAGGCAGATGTTTAATGACTGAGCCACCCAGGCGCCCTATGCTGAGATTTCTTAAGAACTCCACAATACTGCCACAGTATATACTATAAACCTTCTTTCAAGACTTCCCCAGAGACCTGTAGTCGTTAATAGGGTGACTGTATCCTGAAAAAAAAAAAGTCTTCAGATCTTTTGGGCATTAATAAGCACTGGTCCTGAATTGGCAGTAATTTCTGGGACCCTAAAACACTACTCTGGTCCACCAGTTAAAGTGGGGGCTAATGGTGGTCAGGTGATGAATGGAATATTGGCCCAAGTTAAAATTACAGAGAGCCCAGTAGGTCTGTGAACCCAGTGGTCACATCTCCAGTTCTTGAATGTAATTGCATTAGACATACTTAATTACTGGCAGGATCCCCAAATTTCCTCTCTGACCCATGGACTGAGGGTTATTATTGTAAAAAGGGCCAAGTAGAAGCCCCTAGAAAGTCCCCTCCTTACCAAGCCAACAGCAATAGCACATCCCTAGAGGAAATTGCAGAGATTAGTGCCACCATCATTGGCTTGGTATCTGTCACATCTCCACTTAAATTTACCTGTTTGTCCTGTGCCAAAGGTCGGTGGATCTGAGAATTACGATGGATTACTGTAAACTTACACAGGTGATGACTCCAATTGCAGCTGCTGTCCCAGATGTGCTATCTTTATGAGAGAAGATCAACATAACCCTTGGCACTTCACGTACCATTAGTGATCTGGCAAATGCTTTTTATCCCCTCTCTCTATAATAATTTGCAGTGACCACCAGAAGCAGCTTGTTTTTACATTGCAGAACTGAGACCACCTTTATAGTTTTCCCTTAGGGCTACATCAACCTCCTGTCATAATCTGCAGAGATCGTGATCATCTTGACATTTCACAGTCCATCACACTGGTCCACTTCACTGATGACATGCAGATTGGATCTGATACGAAGGTAATAGCCAGTACAATAAATAATATGGCAAATAAGGATTCTGTACGGAACCTCTGGCAAATGCCAATAGGAGAATCAAAGCATACACCTCTAGGGTTTGGGAGCAAATCCATACCCTCTTTGAAGTTAACTGATTTTCCTTTTAGAAACAGCTCTATGGCACTGGGTGCTGCGTGATCCAGCAAGCCATAAGCTGGAATGTGCACAGCAGCAATCCATCATCAAGTAGCAGTGGTATACAAGGGAGAGAGATCAAGCAGGTCTAGAATGCATAAGCAAGTTGCCTGAGTAGGTGGCTCAAATCCTTTGACACCTACTCCTGTTACAAGACTTCTTTTTTCCCAGTCTTTACCTCTGGCTGCATGAAGAGTTCCTTTTGACCAGCTGACTAACAGGAAATTTAGGTCTGGGGGCGCCTGGGTGGCTCAATCATTAAGCGTCTGCCTTCAGCTCAGGTCGTGATCCCAGGGTCCTGGGATCGAGCCCTGCATCGGGCTCCCTGCTCGGCAGGGAGCCTGCTTTTCCCTCTCCCACTCCACCTGCTTGTGTTCCCTCTCTCGCTGTGTCTCTCTCTGTCAAATAAATAAATAAAATCTTAAAAAAAAAAAAAGAAATTTAAGTCTGGTTTACAGTTTATTTTGCCTAATAGGCTAGTGCCAGCTGGGATCTGCAAAATCTGCTGCAGCATTACAACCTCCATCGGATATGTCTCGGAAAGATCCCAGTAAAGGGACATTTTCCTGAGGAGAATCCTGAGCGGTACGATTGCTTGTCTGCTATGTCTGAACTGAGCACTACCCCGAAGTATGGATCGAAACTCTAGTATTCAAGGGCAGTTACTAATGGTTTGATGACTGTTCAGGACTTGGGAAGAACAGATATATAAGACAAGTGACAAGGTCTGGGGGCGAAGTATATAGATGGACCTCTCAGAATAGGCAAGAGAATTGAAGATTATTGTGCTCCAGGTGAATGTTCACCAAAGGACACTGTACATCCATGAGAATGTACTTTGTAGACATGTGACTATAGGGAACATAATTAACCATGAGCCCCAGCTGTTGCACTCTGAAATTCATCACACCTGTGTTGGTTCAAATGCCTCCCATGGCCTGCTTCCAGTAAATGACTGAGAGTAACAGGAATACTAAAGTATATATGGGTCTCTCGTGATAGCTGACCCTGGCTTGAGGACTTCTTGAAGAGCTTGCTGAACCTAAATTAAGACAGAGGAGGTTCTCAGTAATCAGGACAAGATGACGTACTTTGTAGCAATTAGTCAGCCTCTTTTTCCAGTCATCTTAATGACTGCTCAGTGGGCCCATATACAAGAGTGGCTATGTTGGCAAGGATGGAGGCTTATACATAGGCTCAGCAACATGGACTTCCCCTCACCAAAACTGACCTACTGAGTGCTTGACCTGCCAATAGCAGAGACCAGAGACCAATACTGAGCCCTGATGTGTTGGGCTAAGGGCCCCCTGGTGTGGGCCCTTAGTGGCAGCTTACTTACATTAGATCCCTTCTATCATGGAAGGGATAGCAATTTACTCTCACTGGAAAAGACACATTATCCGGGTATGGCTTTGCCATTTACTTCTGCCAGCCTTGTTAACTGTCATGGAATAGCAAAGGAGTATGTGCTGACCTATCCACCCACGTCAAGTAGCCTTTGGTGGCTTAGAAAAGTAGCTGAGATGTCAAAGGTCCACATGCTCAAGTCAGTTTTAGAAAAAAAAGCTATTTATATTTTCTTTCCCACCCATGTTTCCCAATGCTCCACAACAGTTCTTTCTGCCAATTTTGAGCCAGCAGAGGCTCAGGTGGGGCTTTTTTTTTTTTTTTTTTAAAGATTTATTTATTTGAGAGAGAGAGAGCGAGCACACAAGCCCGGAGAGGGGCAGAGGGAGAAGAATTCTGATTCCCTGCTGAGTGCAGAGCCCACGTGGGGCTGGATCCCAGGACCCCAAGATTATGATCTAAACCAAAATCAAGAGCCTGCCGCTCAACTGACTGAGCCACCTAGGTGCTCCTCAGGTGGGGCAATTTTAATTTGAACTACAAATCCTTTTTCTAGAGATGTTTAAAATCAGGTATTTGGCAAAATCTGTGGTTAAATTTACTTTCAACCAATCATGCACAGAGAGTGACATCTGCTGGTCATGATTGTATCTTTACCCTGATTCTTTTTTTGCAATTGACCAATGACCTTAATTATATAGTAAAAATATAAGACAATTATCTCTTTCTTGGGAGAAAAAGAAACCAACACATGACTTGTAAGTGCCAGTATATGTACCATTGTGGGAAATTTTTTTAAACTAAAAAATAAAATCTAAGTTTCTTTATTTTAGCAGACACTGCAGTCTCTTTAATTTGATCAGGGAAAATAAACTTGTAGAATTTGAAAATGAATTCAAAACTCAGCTATTCCCTTTAAAATATCCTTTGGGTTTTTGTTTCATAGCAGGAGAATTCTAGTGGACTTAATGAAAGACTGGCCATCAAAGGTCATTTGCTTCTGGCATTGCGTCCTAGTCCTGCTTTTTTGTATTGTTAATTTCCATGCTTCATACACGCATACATTGCTTCCATCCTTCTTCCTTCCTCTCTCTAGATACACACACATATGAAACTTTATACATACTCTTCCAGATTTATTCCTATATTAGCTTTGGAAATTCTTCCCACTGCTCTTGATGTTAGATTATACTAGAAAAAAATTAGGAACTTATATTTTGTAACTACATTTTTAGATAAAAGTCATGTATTTATGTTTATTGATAAGAGAATTTTGATGGATGGTGATCAAGTTGAGCTTTGTGTAGAAAATACAAACTTCAATTTGCAGTATTCGGGTGGCGCACCTGTTAGTCAGATTCCATTCCCCTTGTCTTTTTTCTCCAATTTTTCACTATTAGAAAAATGCTGTAATTACCTGTTTTATAAATCAAACTGTGGATATCCCTGATTCTCCCCAGGACATAAATTCCTAGAGGGAAAAATCCCCAATCAAAGGGCTACGAATAATCAACAAAGGAACTAAAATTAATACTACCATAATAAAAAATTGGGAATAGTAGGGAAGGAGATGAACGTTTTATAAATTCAGTAATTACTTATTATCAAGAGGAGTCAATATATAACTTCTAAAGCTGATAAATCAAAACTGGCATATGTGGGGGAGCCTGGCTGGCTTAGTCGGTAGAACACACGACTCTTGGTCTCAGGGTTGTGAGTTCGAGCCCCATGTTGAGGGTAGAGTTTACTTAATTAAAAAAACCAAAAAACAGGGTGCCTGGGTGGATCAGTTGGTTAAGCGACTGCCTTCGGCTTGGGTCATGATCCTGGAGTCCCTGGATCGAGTCCCGCATTGGGCTCCCTGCTCGGCAGGGAGTCTACTTCGCCCTCTGGCCCTATCCCCTCTCATTCTCTCTCAAATAAATAAATAAAATCTTAAAAAAAAAAAAACAAAAACCAAAAAACAAAACTCAAAACTGGCATATGTGTTTGGTATAAACACATTACTTAGAGATAAGGGTGGAACCACAAAATGTTAAAGCAGAAATGGTTAAGTAATTGGGCAGGAAAGGGACTGTGGCTTTTTATTATAGGACTCATTTTTTAGCATACCACTTTGATAAGGTATTTAGGTTTTGAAATAAAAATGTAAATTTATTAAAATTTAAAACTATATTTTACCAAATTATTATCCAGAAAACGTATGAAAATTTAAATTCCCACAGGAAATTTTTTGATGGCCCTGATTTACCACAGTGACTTCACATCAATTTATTTATTATTTATATTCTGGTCCATTCAAAAGTTTTGAACTATGTTAGGTAAATACACAGAGCTTAAGATGTAAATAAGTGGGAAAATTGGGGTAAAGGGAAAATAAGATGAGACCGGAGGCCCAAAGAATCCATCAGAACTATCTGGAAACTGGTTAAGAATGAAGGCCCTTGGGGTGCCTAGGTGGCTCAGTCGTTAAGCGTCTGCCTTCGGCTCAGGTCATGATCCCCACCTCAGGCTCCCTGCTCAGCAGGAAGCCTGCTTCTCCCTCTCCCACTCCCCTTGCTTGTGTTCCCTCTCTCACTGTCTCTCTGTCAAATAAATACATAAAATCTTTAAAAAAAAAAAAAAAAGAATGAAGGCCCTTGAGCTTATGCCAGATCTGCTAAATCAGAATCTCTATGGTGAGGCTCTCAGATCCTCTTTTTAGCAGCCTCAATGACTTGGAGTCCTGCTGTAATTTAAAAAAAGACAAAGAGTGACTAATAGGATATTAGGACATTTATTAATGTCATGGCATTTAGAGCATGGGAGCTAGAGGAATGGACATTGTAAGACTAACTCCAAAGAATACATTTAAAAGTAAATCTTATATAAACTAGAATCATCCCTTTTCCAACTATAACATTTCATAATCCTTTTCTGATCCCATTAGCCTCCCCATTGACAACACTCACAGAGACGCGGGGACTCAGTCTATCATTTTGTCCTTCAACTTTTACTTTTAACATGAAGATGCATGTTCTGGGAGATCTTCTCTCTTCTCCGGGATCCATTCCTAGCCTATTGTACCACTTAGGTGGATATTCTAGTGCTTGTGTGTCTTTTTACGTATCACATCAACAGCTTCAACAGATACTTAGAAGAATTCTATGTATCCACTAGGTGGTATTTAATCTTTTCTGCTGCCTGTGTTCTTACTCTCAAAACTGTGAAAATTAAAAGTTACACATGCTAAACTTTTTCTTGGGATTTGGTATGCCATAAATATAAAAGAGACACAATTATAGCTTAATTTTACAATGAAATTAAGAATATATTAAAAATTATACATTAAAAATGTATCAGCTCACAGTGACTTCTGCTGTAGCTGTAGCTTTTGTTCAATGATGTCTGAGAAACGAGGAACTTTTTTTGAAATAGCCACACGAATGTCATCACTCATATTAAAGCAGCTTCTGGACTTTGTTTTAAAATGTAAAAGTGATGAAAATCCCAACTCACAAAGGTATGTAGTTGCAAATGGTATAAGGATTTCTAGAGCTGTCTTTGCCAGGCTTGGAAACACTGTGAATTGAGCACACCAGAAATCCTCAAGCTTCATTGTCTCAAATTCCATTAGGATTTGGCCACTAGCTCGTAATTCAGCAAGATCAGTTTTCATCAAATAACCATCATCGACAAAATCCAGATTAAAAAGAAACGGATCCAGTATCCATTTACTTGCCTCAGCAAGATCTCCAACAGAAAAATATCCATGGAAGAAGTTGCTCAGCTGTTGCAGGTGCAGTGTTATTTCAGCTGCAATGCTTGCTGCTTCATTATCTGAAACAATGATTTCTTCAAGAAAAGGAAAGTTGGTAAAATTTCTTTTCTCAATTCGCTTTAGCCAAAATGGAAACTTCCTAACAAAAGCAGATAACTTTTCTCTAGCTGATACTGTGTTCATCCCAGTCCTTTGCATAGATGCACTAAGTTCATTCAGGTGTTTGAATAAATCTGCAAGGTATGCTAAGTGAACTTTAAACTCTTTATTTTCAAAGCCATCAACTAAGTTACTGCTTTGGTGGTGAAGAAACTGATTTATTTCTTCATACATTTCAAAAATATGGGTAAGTATTTGACCTCGGGAAAGCCACCTCATTTCAGTATGGAAAAGGAGGACACTATACTCGATTCCAATTTCTTCAAAAAAAGCCTGAAAGAGGCGATGATTTGGAGCGCGTCCTTTAATGAAATTTATTACCCTCACCACAGTAAACAGAGCATCTCTCAGTTTTGTAGGCAAGGTCTTTGTGACAAGGTCATGAGGATTCAACAAACAATGCGTGATCACGATGTGAGGTGCCTCTTTTTTCACACAAGCAATAAATTCTGAATTTTCTGCCAGCATAGAAGAGGCACCGTCAGTACAAACAGAGCCACATACATCAAGTGCTATCTTATGCTTCAAAAAGAAGTCTCTGAAGAGATTGAACACATCTTTTCCTTTCATTGTTAACTGCAATGGTTCACAGAATAGAAATTCTTCTATGATCTCTCTTTCTTTTATGTATCGTACAAATGCCATTAGCTGACTGCAGTCACCCATGTCCGTTGTCTCAGCAAGCTGAATACCCACTTTCAGAGGACTGGCTTTGATGTCCTCTAGAACTTGCTGTAAGATATCCTGGCTCATTTCATCAATTCTAGAATGGATCACATCATCTGATAAGGGTACCTGCTGAAGCTTCTTTTGTGCATCTGGTCCCAAAACTATTTGTGCTATTTCCAATGCACAAGGTTTTACTAATTTTTCAGCTATTGTATGGGGATTCTTCTCCTTGGCACATAAATATGCAAACTGATATGATGCTTGTAATAAGGCATCCTCGTGAGATGTAACTCCAAATGTTTTCAAGGTTTCACTCTGATCAGATGGTGTTGGCATATGCTTCAGGCTATTGAGATCATGCCCACCTACACCACCATGCTGTCTGTTAAAATGGTCAGACAATTTTGATGGTCTGAGGTCAGCATTTGAAAATATCGAGTTACACAATACACATTGTGGGCGCTGAGTTCCATCAACCTCTGTTGTACAGGTGAACCAGTAACGAACATAGTCATCATCCCATTTGCGTTTCTTCGACATGGCACCCCGAAATTCTCAGGTAGTATTCCAGAGATGCTGCAGAATTTTGCTTTGGGAGTAAAATATAACCCACATATTAAAAATCACTGGCTAACCGAATTAAAACAAAGCCACATCACATGCCATTTGTACATGTAAAGAAATATCCTGTAACATGTCAGTTCAAAGTAAACCATGACAGCATGACAGTCCAACTTAAAGCTATCAACTCACAGCTAATGCCCCGGAGTAAACGACTTACCAGTAAGCTACATACGGGAGATTTGGACTTATATAGGTTGTGAATACCCGTAAATCCTCTATTGGTGAACTGAAGTTATGGCTTCATTTGTTTTCAATGATGTATGTTCCAAACAAATCTGGTACATTTTGTATCCCCTAAAAGGGCATCTTACTACCACCCCCTCCCCCTCCTTCCATTCTCCGCCAGGGATGTACACACACAGGCAGTTATGAGCAAGTGAATAGAGAAGGGCGTAATTCATTAAATACTCTAAGGAAGGACATATTTTGACATAGTGGCTAGTTCTTTTTATAGTTAAGGATTAAACAGGTCTGTAATACTATTTGATCCTTGACTGGCTCTGATTCCAACGTAAGCAGAGAATTTCAAATGGGTCTGATTAAGTCGCCTTTGACACAGAAGTAGGATACAAAAATGGCCCAGAGCTTCCTTGAAGCTAAAGTGTAACACACTACCAGTCCATGATTCGTATTGTCCATACAGAAAAGCAAAACAAGTTGTTCAGGAGAAATACAACTATTTTTGTTACTGAGACTTCAGAAAAATCTCTCTCATAGAGTAACACCCTTAGTTACAATAGGAATTTCATGATGCTTTTTCATATAACTACCCCTCAGTAAAAGCAGTCAAGAAAGAAGCCGAAACAATGGAATGAAAATAAGCAGTATTCCCAAAATCAAGATTTGTTTTAATCTGAGGACAGGGATTAGAATGTAATGGTTCCTAGGTTAGCAAATGGAGGAATCAGTGAAATCTTTTGCTAAAATGTAGATGCATGGTCTCAACTCCCAGAGATTCTGATTCCCTAGCTCTATAGTAGGGGCTCAGAATCTGTATTCTACATAAGCATTTTGAATAATTCTTATGAATGGTAACCACAACAGTAATCTTTAATAAGAGATACTCATCACAATCATTAGGAACCCCTTTGAACTTATACATCTCCCTCCCTTAGAACTAATAAATCATCTTCTCCAGAAGGAGGACAAAAGACTCTAAATCTTGGGGTACCTGGCTGGCTTACTTGGTAGAGCATGGGACTCCTGATCTTGGGGTCGTGAGTTTGAGCCCCATGCTGGGCACTGAGATTACTTTAAAAAAAAAAAAAAAAAAACCTCTAAATCTTGTCCAGGTGATTCTAATACATATCCTAGTGTGTATCAGATTTACAGGAATAAAAACATATCCTTCAGGCCAACCACTAGGTTGATGATATGCTAGGTTGGTAAATAAATAGTCTAAATGCTTTAATAGGCATTTAAGTTTCTGAGTTGATAACAACCTCCTAAGAAAGTTGAGGGACCTAGAAAGTCTTCCTCCTTAGCAATGAGCAAAGGTATAACCCACAGGTAGGCTCAAATATACCTTCAAAAACAGTTCTATCTCCCAGATAAACAAGTGATCCCCTAAGTTTCTAAAGTTCTATACTACAGAATGTGGCGGAAATAACTTAACAGGGACACATTTAAATCCAAACGCCCACTTTGGCCATAAAAAAAATCTCACAATAAGTAAGGCAAGAATATTAACTTAAAACACTAACTTTCTAGTGGCTCTGCCACAATTAGCTATAAAATGAACTTCTATGTAAAATACTAAGTTGACATGCCCTATGGCTGTTTGTTATGAGTCAGTTAAAAATTGGAAGGTATCTACCCATCAATAAAGATGATTTGAAGTTTAAAAGTTGATCTTAAGCTTTCTTTTGTCAAGTGATGACAATAGGGCCAAATGTGTTTAGAACCTCTCCTAATTGATAGTAAAATTATGACATTGGCATAAAAAAATGCTTATCTTTCTATATTCTCTTATGTATATTTACCATGTATGTTTTGGGGAGCAGGGGAAGTGAACGAAAAAGCTTTGCTTCAGTCTCATTAGAAAATATTACAGGACCAGTTAAGAGTCCATTCCAATCCACCTTGACTATGCTACTCAAGTATGTTTTGATTGAAAATTTACCTGTTCTGAACAAAAGGTTTTTTGGAAAAATTCATTTGCAGTAGTCCTCCTCATCCCCCTCAAAAAGGGAGAATAGGTAGCAAGAATTTTCAAGATTCTCAAAGAGGAATTTACCACCCAAGAGGCTTTCTTGTGTTTTAGAACCTCACAATTTTCACTTGCTCCTCTGTGGTATTTAGTAATCACAATACCCTAAGATACGTAAACATTAAAAAAGCATCATCATACTAAAAAACTATTGTTAACTGGGGCACCTGGGTGGCTCAGTCGGTTAAGCATCCGACTCTTGATCTCAGCTCAGGTCTTGATCTCAGGGTCATGAGCTTGAGCCCCACGTTGGGCTCCATGCTGGGTGTGGAGCCTGCTTAAAAAATGGGGAGGAAAACAAAGAAAAAAAAGGAAATTATTGTTAAACAGATGTGATAATGGTATGTTTGTGTGGAAAAAAGTACTCATTTATTAGCAATACAGACTTAGTTGTCTACAAGTGAGATGATAAGACGTCTGGGATTTCCTTTGAAATACTGTACTTCAGCATACACACACACACACACACAGAGTGGGGTAGAGATAGAAGACATAAGATGGGCCTTGAGTTGTTAATGAAGCTGAATGATGGGTATGCTACATTACACCATTCTCACTATTTTTATGTTATGTGGGGGAACTTTCCATAGTAAACAGTAAAATAAACAAAAGGCATGACCTTATTTAGACAGAATTCGTTTTTAGAATGATTCCTTTGAGAGTCTGAGAGATATCTTAAGATGCAGAGTGATATAACAAAGTAAAATGTTTTTGCAAGTTTATGAGGTATAGGGGTAGATAGGAAAAAGTATCACTGATGAAACGCCAGTTAAAAGTGAACATTCACGTAACAAATCTTTGGGAAATGCTAAAATACATATTTCAGCAGTGACAACACCCAAGTGCAGTTGTAAACCTAAAACTCCAAACCAAACACAATTCAACTTCTATCTTGCCACTGCCTCTTCCAGTCCAAGGGAGGTGCGGGTGTCTGGGGGACAGGATTTCCTTAGTACACTTTGCAATTAAAGGCAACAGCCAGGAGAAAAGGGACGGAAATAGAGTGGCTGAGCAAACGCGCCAGGGGCACACGCCTGGGATCCTCGCTTTGTCACCTGTAGGCTGGTCCTTTCCAAGCCTCGATTCCCCAAGTGGGGATGACAATAGTACCTACCTTAGAGGGTTGTTGGGAGCTTTAATTATGAAGCATGCACGTAAAGAACATGCAGCTCGTAACTGGTAGGACCTGTTGGTGTATAATTAAAGACGGCGCGTTTGGGAAGCAGCTCGGGCGAGCTACGGGCGCCGGCTGCGAGGAAGGACTCCGCTCGGTCTCCACCCGCCCGTCTCCGAGCCAGGGCGCAGGCCCAAGGGATGCTCGGGCTTCTTTCAGTGGCCCGTCTCCGACTCCAGGTCGCTCTCCGCTCGGGCTAGGGTCCAGCCACTAAGCGCCGGAACAAGTCAGGGCGGCGGCTCCTCAGGTCCGGTCCCCGAGCAGGAACCTGCAGGGCGCGGGGACACAGATGCGTCCGCGGCGACCTCCACCCCAGCCGCGCCGAGGTTCCATCCGGGTTCTCCGTGTGGCTTCCCGCCCGCAGACGGTGTCTCCCCGCACGCAGGCGCATTAGCCACCGGCTGAGGCCTCAGCAGGCTTGAGTAAGGAGCATGCGCATTGGCCCTCTCAAAAAAAAAAAAATTTTTTTTTTTTTTTTTTTTTAATTGAGTACGTGGAGCGGGGAGGTTTCTTTTGTGTCGGCCGGGAAGGAAGAATCGTAGAATCCAAGGAATGGAAGGTATGGTAAAGTCCACATAGTTCTTCAGAGCACCGAAATAAATTTTGTAACACCCTAATAATTAGCATTTTCTATGTGTGATCAAGGAGTAAAGAGAAGGAAGCTCATTGTACTTCCAAGTTAAACACTGAGGCAAATGCGAAAGGCTGTAAACTCCATGAAGATACTCACAGTGGAGACGAGCTTTTAGAGCTTGCGTCTTCATGTCTGTGCAGACTATCTCTTTCCATAAATTAGAGCGTGTGGATGAATTTCCTCAGAATCACTTATTTTAGAGAAAAACTTCAATTTTATTTAAAATTCGTTTTAACATGATCTTAAAGTTACAAACCCATATTGGAGAGATTTTAGAGGAAAAATCCCAAAGTAGAAAGTAGAAACTCGAGCATAGACCTCCTTTCTGTGTGGGGGGTATTTACTTCCAGAATTGTTACAAACTTAAAGAACGATTTATTCATTTTTGTATAGTCTTGTTAGAAGCATCCCACAACGTGGGGGAAAGGAGTAGTATCAAAGAATGTGGGACAGGGGCGCCTGGGTGGCCCAGTCGTTAAGCGTCTGCCTTCGGCTCAGGTCATGATCCTGGAGTGCCTGGATCGAGTCCCGCATCGGGCTCCCTGCTCGGCGGGGAGCCTGCTTCTCCCCCTCCCACTCCCCCTGCTTGTGTTCCCTTTCTTGCTGTGTCTCTCTCTGACAAATAAATAAAATCTTAAAAAAAAAAAAAGGATGTGGGACAGACGCATCATTTTCCGGTGTTGAGGGTGAACCTGGTAGACTGAGGCCTGCTTAAAGTTTCTGTCCAAAGAAATTGCAAAAGACCAGTCTTCCTAGTCCAGAAAGCAGGGTCTTAAATACTAGAGAAAGGAGTAGGCTTTAAGAGTCAAAGATACTTGGCTTTATGTCCTGGCCCTAACACTTTTAACTTGTCAGGACTTGAGCAAGCTACATGGACTTATTAAGCCCATGTGCTTATTGTAAAATAGGGGTATTATCCATTACCTTATAAAGTTCTTTTGCAGAGATAACATACAAAAATTACAGTACATGGTTTCAGCACTCAAAAGGCAGCTATTATTGAGATAATAAAATCAAAGTTCACATAATGAACAGTGTTCCAGGTGTTATCTTTGTTTTCCAAAATGAAGCAGAAATAAGACATTACAGAGTTCTTCCTAAAATCAGTAAATTAGGTTTCACAGAAGAGGGAACAGAGAACCAGAAAAGTTGACACATTTTTTTGTTAAAGATCCTGAAATTTTCTAACTCAAAACCCCTGCCAGTCCCATAACTTATTTTTCTGCCAAATATTTGAAATACTACTACAAACCACTGTTTTTTCAATTATATCTTTATTAACAAAAGATAAATACAAAATAGACATCAATGTCAGACTTTATGTTGAACCACTCCATGTTAAGGTATGAAAATGAAAACGTTAAGTCATTCACTTTCTTGAAATAGGTAAGAATGAGCTTTGTTTGCATTGCTGTTTTAATTTGGCACTAGTCTGAATCTAGATACTATGTGCATAGTACCTGACAATTTGTTACTCACTCACCAGCACAATTTTTTTTTTTAAAAAAGATTTTATTTATTTATTTGACAGAGAGAGACACAGCGAGAGAGGGAACACAAGCAGGGGGAGTGGGAGAGGGAGAAGCAGGCTCCCCACAGAGCAGGGAGCCCGATGCGGGGCTCGATCCCAGGACCCTGGGATCATGACCTGAGCTGAAGGCAGTCGCTTAACCAACTGAGCCACCCAGGCGCCCCAGCACAATTTCTTAAGATGGTAACTTAATGCAGTATCCTAGTGGGTTTTGGTAGCTTAGAAGCCAGTGAGCTGTTAAAAGCCAATGTACTTATGTCAGGTGTTTGAAACAGGCTGTTTTCATTGATCCCACTCTCACTGTATTATCTTCACAATGTTCTTAGGAGAGGCCTGAGGATCATGGCAGTCTCAGTTATTAATAGCCCTATAAGCTATCCTTATAATTCTTTGAAGAAACCTTCAACTTCAGGTTTTGCTTTCTGCAATTTTTACAAAAAGACACCTTCTTGCTATAAAGATTAGGTACAATGGATATTCTACAATCTTTTAAAATTTAATATTCATGATAATTACATAAAGGCAATCACAATTAAAACAACAAATAGTATCACAAACCATATTCTCTATGATAGAGGAAAGAGTTTCTGTGTCTAAAGGCTCATGTCCAGAATGGTAAAAGACCTAGTACTGATCAATCAACAGTGACTCAAAGATAACAAAATAGTTATTTTTTCCATTCAAAGGCTAATCCATTTAGTTCTGGGTGTAAAGTACAAGGAAATGTTTTATTTTTATTTATTTATTTTTTTTAAAGATTTTATTTATTTATTTGAGACAGAGAGAATGAGAGAGAGAGCACATGAGAGGGGGGAGGGTCAGAGGCAGAAGCAGGCTCCCTGCCGAGCAGGGAGCCCGATGCGGGACTCGATCCAGGGACTCCAGGATCATGACCTGAGCCGAAGCCAGTCGCTTAACCAACTGAGCCACCCAGGCGCCCCAAGGAAATGTTTTAAAAATAAAAATTTTATAACCAAGTAGAAAACAGAATTATTACTATACAGATTGACATGGGGGATAAAGTCATTCATATGTTCTACAGATTTCCTTTCAGTAACTCAACACCCAACATAGAGTAATTTTTTTTAGCTTTAAACCAGGGAAACCTTAGAAGGCAAAAACAAATGATACTCAAATAACTACAATTATAGTTACTAGTAATTTGAAAAAATGAAACTGATTTTGAGAAAGAGTAACTCATCTGCCTTTAAAATGTGTGCTAACACTAGATAAAGGGCCATAAGAATTGAGGAAATAAAGTTTGAGACTTAATAAATGTTGAGAAGATGTTCTTGCTAGGTAGAGAGCCAAGGCCTCTTTCCACATCACCTAATATAAAACTGGAAATAAAATCTTAATACCACTTAATGTACTTCCTCTTTTTCTTCTTTGTTTCTTCAGTTTGTAAAGAAATGAATTTGCTATGAGACTTCCGGAGTCTTTATTAAAGTAGGCAGCAAGGGTTTTTCCACCTACAATCATCAGCGAGAAGCTGAAAACAATGTATCAGCTGTGTCTACCTTGGGTGACTGTCTATAACTAGTTACTACTGCCCAAGGAAGGAAGCCATGGGGTCATCTGGTCTCTGACGTTTCATTCTATAGGCCTCCATTTCCTCTTCAGTGGGTTCCCGAGTTTCATATATGCTATTGTAAGGCCGCTTCCTCTCATCAATCTGCATGATCTCCTTGACATGAAGAAGGCGGGCCTCCTCTGCATTCAGTGCCTACAGTGAGAGGGAAAACATGAGTACCACAGCTCTACATCAGATCTCTTCTGTTCTAAAGTAGCAGAATACCAAAAGACCCCACTGAATATAAATTGCTATATCAAAAACCTAGATCGTCTGAAAGAGCTTGAGCATCAGCCCTTCTACTGACGAGCTGTAACTAATCACTATTTGGCTGATACAATATTTTCATGTAGCACAAAACATTCTACCACATTTTCAATGTTAAAAAAATTTTACTTAATAACAAAGATTCAGTGAGATTCATTTTACTAACAGAAGTCCACAACTGATGCTTCTGGTGGAAACTACAATTCTGACTTTTCCCAAAGACTTGCTGAAATTTACAAATTATAGAGCTAAAAGGCAATTCTTTCTGGGCAGTCAATAACTCTAAAATAACAGCTTTACAAAACACATTTCTTCTGTACGTTAGTGATATTTATCAAACATTCCAAGAAGAAGGCAATACTGAGACACACAAAAATCTCCATTTGCATTCTAGACCTGATAGAAGGTAACCTAAACAAATCACCCAGACTTGGGGCTTGTTTCCTCATTTTTAAAATGAGCTTAGGGATAGGACTAGATAATTTCTTACAGTTGCTACAAATAAAGAATACTGTCATCACTTTGACTATTTAGAATTCACAAAGTACCTTTTTCAATTTTTCGTGTTTCTTTTCTTCATCATCACTATCTGAACTGCTCTTTCGATGCTTCTTTTTCTTCTTCTTCTTCTTCTTCTTATCTTCTTTTAGTTTTTCCTGATGCATCTGACAGGAAGAATTGAAATCTACAGTGTTATTAATGCAAAAACAAAGCTCTGGTGTAAATTTTAAAGTCAGCATTCCAGGACTTAATTCAGGACAAATGATTATAGACTTACCTCCATGAGGGTCTGAGGTTTTTTCACAGATTCTTCTCCGGTTATATCATTTATAATACATTCCTCTGAATTCTGTGGGAAAATATATGTAATTTGACTTGAGTATCATAGTTACCATCATTGAAGAAAAAGTTAAAATTTGAAACATGAGACAATATTTCCTACAGATTTTGACTTAAGAGCTTTGGCTGTTTTACAGTTTAAGAACTAGAAGACAATTACTTACAGCAATCTCCTTGCCGGCTTCTCCAGTGCAATAGGAATACTTGAAAAAAGAGTGACAGCATTTGTATCCCCATCGGCCTTCTTTCCAGTAAGATCCCCAGATATGCTGCAGAGAGAGTTGTTACTTAAAGAGGAATCTGAAACTGGGGACTCTCATTTACTGTTGAGATGAGTACAAAATAATACAGCCCTTTAAACGGTAATTTGGGAGGAAAATTATGGGGATTCCAGGGCTAGCTAACAGGGAAAGGGTGGTCTGACCTCAAGTGTAAGAAGCAGCCATTAGATTATAATGGTCTCACATTCCATTCCTAAAACTGTAAAAAAATTTAGGATTATCTGACTTCTCTTCAAAAATTAAGAAGAACTGGGAAATTCTGGG